ATAATCAAGATTCTGGACATTCAACAAGAGAACAGAATATTAAAAGCTGTTAGAGAAAATAAACAAATCACCTATGAAGGAAAGCCCATCAGAAACACAACTGACTTCTCAACACAAACCCTCAAGTCAAGGGAAGCTTGAAGTAAACTATTTCAAGCCCTAAAAGAAAATAATCTCCAACCCTGATTGATGTGCCCCACAAAACTATCTTTCAAAATTGATGAAGAAAAAGGATACTTCCGTGACAAAAAATACCTGAGGAAATCCATGACCACCAAACCTACACTCCAAAAGGTTCTAGACATTCTAGGACATTCTAGAAAAAGATCATGAGGACTACAACTTCATGAACACAAACAAAATGAATCCACTAGGAAAGCAAGTAATTAGAGGGGACATCAGTAACAGGAAAATAACATGACAAATATAAGTCAATACATATCAGTTATAAATAGTCTCAATTTACCCATCAAAAGAAACAGACTGGCAGAGTGAATCAAGAAGCTAAATCTAGGGGTTGAAGAGAGGGTAGAGAAATACAAAAAAAAGAAACAAGTTACATCACGTACATGTACATGTGATCATCTATGATGAATGTGATCATCATATATACTTGTCAATAAAATCTGATTATAAAAAGCAAGATCCAACAACATGCTACATTTAAGAAACACATTTAATTCAAAGAGAAATTCACAAACTGTAAGTCAAAGGATGGAAACAATATTCCATTCAACAGGAACCCAGAAACAAAAAAGCAGGGGTAACTATACTATTTGCAGACAAAGTGAATTTCAAGCCAAGACTGATTAAGACAAAGATCACTACATCCTTATAAAGGGAACAATTAAAGAGGATGACACATAAATAGTCCCACTCTTCTTCTGATCCAGTGGTTCCCAACCAAAGCAATTTCTCCTCAGAGGGAAAACTGAAAACTTTCTGGTTGTCACATCTGTCAGGAGTTAAAGAACTGCTAGGCATCTCAGTGGGCAGAAGCCAGAGGAGGCTGCTACGCCATGTGCTGCAGTCATGATGCACACCCCTGCCAAAGGCGTAGCAACCTGGGGCCATCTGAGCTTGAACCGGAACCTCCAAAACCATGATCCAAAACAAATCTTTTCTCCTTGTAATTGAACTGTTTTAACTATTTTGTTACAGTGACAAAAAAAAAAAAAAAAAAAGTCTGATAAAAATACAGAACTCTAAAACTGGAAAGAACTTTGGAGTCTTTTCTAGTCGAGGCACAGTTAGAGAACCAAGGCCCAGAGCAATAGTCATGTGGCCAAGTTCCTAGAAGAAATGACCATCAGCTGGCCTGGAATTAGAACCATCTTTACTACCCCAAATATGTGGTACACCCAGGTGCTCAGTTACTAAATCAGTATTTTGTTCTGTAGGTGTTCTTTCTCATTACAACATACAATTCAACACCCAAGATTGTTATGAAGAGTTATTCACACTCCTTCTCATCCACACTCTCCTTCCCCAAAAGGTTGCAGGAAGGGGAGAAGCAGGTAACATACTAACAGGACCAAGAGACTCCACAGTTTTTCAGTGGTTTCCAGGGCAGTGCACACCTATGCAAAAGTTTCTAAATCAACAAATGAACTCTCCTATGAGGAAATGGGCATGTGCATCTCCCTCCATGCACCAGGGACAGTGGCTTTCTTACCATGTCAGAGGAGCCCAACCAATGTCAAACTCAGGGAGAATCGTTGTCACTTTACTGAATCATAACCCAAACTTCTATTCTTAAACAAACGATGAATAGACGTGTGTTCTCGAATTAAAGTACAAACACGTTAGTCCACTGGCATGTTGAAAAGTTCATCATTAAAACAGCTCTGCCTTAAAGACAGAGGGCAAAAGGCAGAGATTTGCCCTTTCACAAATAAAAGACTCACCAGAATATTTCAAAATCTAGGTATTTTAGAAGTGAATTTAATAATGTATAGAGGTCAAAAGGTGTGACACAAGGTGTGAGGCAAAAATGCGATGTGAATGGAAAGATCTTACATAAAACATTATGCAGAGGAACCAGGGCAGGCCTCTAGGAAAATAATCATAGCTTCAAAAGAGTCAAGGTAAGATTCTTCAAGTCAACCGGACCTGTTTCAGTGGGTGCAGGAGAACTTCTAAAATGCTGCAAGGTTGTTATTAATTTCTATGTCACCTGAGAGCGATGTCTAAACATTGACTCCCATCCCACCAAAAGACCAAGGATTACCAGTACTGTCTCTTATTTCATACCCCCTGCTACATTTCATCCAACATGATGTGTCATACTAATACCTCCTACTTAGAAGGCACAAGACTGGCTTCATGACTGGCTCCACTTTCAGTGTGGGAGACACACAAATGAAATGGTACCAAGAAGCATTGAGCACAAAACAAGATTCACCTGCTCAGCTTCCTGGAATGTCACAGGTCTTTAAATATATGACTTAATAGTATGAAGATAGCTGTCAAAAAACAATATGACCTGAACAGAGACACTCTGTATTAGGTATGCAGACACTCATAGTCTTCATCCAGTCTAAGGAAAGTCCTTGTTAAAAAAAAAAAAAAAGGCAGCAGTTAGTAGTTATCCCCTTTCTACTAATGTGGGCCTCTAATCCACCTTCCCAGGGGATGGATTTAAGTGAAAGAAGACTCTGTGAACAACATGAGAGGCTAATCAATAACACAACAGTATCCCTGCACACCAGACGTCTACTGTGACATGCTGGGGCATCATGCTGTTATATGAACCATAAAGCTGTCCTTGTGGTCAATCTTTGCATCAGCAGATGTCTAATGCAATGAATCATGTTAAAATAACAATCTATACAGCAAAGCTACCTCCAACCCAGAGGACCTCATGATAGGCAAGCACTATACAAGGAGCCACCTCCTTAGTCCTATGTTTTAAAATTAGAGGGCCCGCATGCCTACTCAAATCTGAATACATAAATAACCAATCAGCAACAACAACATAAACATTTACATTATACTATTATTTGTAACACTGAAAAACTAAACACCAAAACGTTTAACAATTGGGCTGGGGGTAAGTAATAATGACATAGTATCATGATGGAATAAACTAAATGTATTTAAATATTATAACATCATGAAAATGCTTATGACAAATGCTAAACAAAACAATACTGATAATAAGGGCCACGGATATAGCTCAATGGCACAGTGCCTGCCTGGCAAGTACAAGATTATGAGTTTGATCCCCAATATCCCCACCTCCAAAAAATACTGATACAAGTTCAAGTAAGTAATGGGTGATGAGGATAATGGAAGCTATCTCTGGCATCATTCTGTGTTTCATACTTTCCAGTAATTTTTATCATAAATATAGACAATTTTCATAGAAAAGGTGAAATCTCTGCTTTTTAAAGAAACAGCATTTAATGTTCAGATAATAAGCATGAAAAGCTTTCCACTTCCTCACTCCCCCAAATCCCACAAGACAAAAAAAACCTAGTCTAGGAGTCTGTTTCTATGGCAACACATTTCCCCTCTTAAATGTATGAGAAGACTAATGAAACTGGAACTATTTTTACTCTACCATAACACGGACTCGACTTGAGTCACTTGTATCAGGCTACTTCTGTTCGTAGATTGGGCTCAGAACCCAGAAACCTGGTTGCTCAGAGGGGCTAAACTGGAGTCTTCTTGGTTCCAGTGCTGCATTTAATGAAGCCCATGCTCTCTCATATAAGCTAGGAAATTCACAGGGCACTTGCACCGTAAGAAAGACCTTTTCTCAAATTCCTCCTCTGTCTGCAGCAGTGCCTCTGATTCGACTCCTCATTCCCACTTTCAGAGCAACAAAGTCAATTCCTATTCCAAAATGCTATTCTTTGAGCAAAAATAATTTTCTTTTTCAAATTAGTGGTTGTACTCAAACCGGTTTCCATTACATTACCTCTGCCATTTACAGCTATTTTGAACAAAAGCTTCACACTAAGAATAGTGGTTTCCTTCCTGTTTTTCCTCTGAGAGCTTATGTCAGTCATCACATGTTATCAACAACAACAAAAAGACAGCAATGTCCCTTCCCTCAGGAGCTTCATCCAGCAGCATAATAGGTCACCAGCTTACACAGAAAATTCTGTAAGATATTATTTTAATGCACAAGAATAAAACAATCATCTAAACAATATTAAGGCAAACTTTTTAACTCAAAACTAGAAATACTAGAAAACTCATTTCTAAACCCATATTCGGGAACTTCCAGTTAAACAAGAAAAGAGGAAGAAGTTAAACAAGAAAATTTATTGCATGCGCACATAAGGCAAACAAGGTGAAGTAACACTGTAGGATTAACATATAAACCCACAGCTACAGATGTAAGCTCTGAGGAAAGGCTTGGGAATTTATGATCTTCATCACCAGCAAGTACAGCTGGAGACAGCATGCATGACTCTCTGAAGAAAGGAAAAGACTATTTGTTCCAACCACTATGCTAGCACAGGCCTATCAGCTCCAGGCCCACCTATCCCTCCTGCATTTGCTTTACTATGCTTAGTGTATCATAAAACAACAGCATTTCACATTTGGTTTTTTAATGAGGAGAAATGACATGAAGCCTGAAGAATCCAGTTCTTATTTGGAACTTCAAAATTTCTTTTTGAAAGCTCTGATTTGATTTTTTAAAAAAATCAACAAAGTGTTCTCCAATTGGCTAATTCAGTATTTAGATAAACTATACTTTATATGTACTTAAAAACAAACCAGGATTTAAAAAAAAAAGCAACCCAGGATACTTATAGGGAATACACAAATTGAGGATAAAGTTATCCAGTTAACAAAATTGTCAGAGACTCCCTTAAAATTAATTTAAAATGAAAAGAAGCAGTCATAATAAAATCCTATTACACACTACCCAGTGATACACTACAATGGTAGGATCCCAGGGCAAGTTTCAGCCACACAAGAAGGAAGATGGGGGAAGAGGAGAATCGGTGGACAAACTTAGACAACCACCAGGGCAACCTTACGCTGACGGATGGCCACAGCAGAAGGTAGCTGAAGGTAGATTTGGCTCATCTCTGGGGCTTTCCACTGGGGAGAGACCTGCCGTTCAGTCATCAATGGCCCAGCACTCCTGTGGGGGAATACAGGATCCAGAAGAATGGGGTAGGGAAGGAGAAAGTACGGAAAAGGGAAGAGTCAAACATAGTAATGAGAGACTGTAATTACTAAACACGAGGCTTCACAAACGAATAGATGTACCTTTTAGGATATATCTTTGAAGCTGAAAAGAACAGTACTCTGGGAAGAGCTGAATATGCTTTTTTAAAATACTAAATTACATTTTAATTATATCTGTGAGTTATAACAATCCCTGCCAAGAGGAAATTACCTTTTCGTAGAAAAGGGAAAAGCAATGAAACCTATGTGGTATTTACAACTGATGACTTTACTCAGACAATGAATGTCCCTTATCTGTTGCCTCTACAGAAAGTAACAGCCGAAAAGCAGACATACTCACACTGCACTGAAACGTTCTGCTGGCCTAGTTCCACCAGTTCCATTAAGGGCTCATATGCAGGTGACCTGATTGACAAAAAAAGCACTTCTAGAAAGCACTGAATTTGTACCACAAACTCAAGCACTTCTATAATCAAGAAGAAAACTAGTAGCAGGCACTTGGGAAGCTCTTCCTTCAAATGGAGCAGAAGCAACGTTCCTTATACACAAAATATTTTTCTGCCTAGTGTAGAAGAAAATAAAGCCAGTGATTTCACTTCCTTCACCCAGTCTTCACCTACTGAAATTGCAACTGGGGACTATCGACCACCAACTAAAAGGCTAGTAAACATCAGCCCAGATAGAATGGTGCATACCTGCAATCCCAGCAGAGAGGCTGAGACAGCAGGATCAAAAGTTGGAGCCCAAGTCGGGCATAGTGGCGCTCCTGTAATCCCAGCACTTAGGAGGCTGAGACAAGCTGATTGTTGCAAGTTCAAGACCAGCCTGGGCTACAAAGTGAACCCAAGGCCAGCCTGAACTACATAGCAAGGCCTTGTCTCAAAAAGGAAAAAAATAAGTTGGAGTCCAATCTGGGCAACGTAGCAATTTAGTGAGACCCTCTCTCAAAGTATAAGTAATAAATAAATAAATGGCTGGCTGGCTGTGGATAGAGCTCAGTATGAAAGCCCTGGGTTAAATATCCAGTACTGGGTGTATGGGGAGAGTTAAAATGATGTGCAACACAAAGAAAGTTAGCCCCATAACAATGACCTTCACTATCAATTAAAAACTACACTGTACATTATTTAAGGCCACCATCCTCAAACTGTCCATCTTCCAGCTACAAGTGGGGAAGTCCAATGTAAATATACCTTGTCTAAGCCTTTGACTTCCCAGAATTGACAGGGTAGGAACTTATTTTCTGAGTAATCAAAAGATAAATTGCTCCTGGAAGCAACCAATGGTCAAATACAAATTCAACAGAAGCTAATTTGCCTAGTCTCGTGCCATAATTATACAGGTCATGACTGAGCTGTTATATTACTTTCTGGGACTAAATGTTGTTTCCATAACAGTCTCATAAGGCTTCCAAAGCACAGGAAGTTGTCTGTGTCTCAAAACCTTATCTCTTGTCCCTAATCATTTAAATAAGGAGAAAGGATCAAGTCCTAGAGATGTTTTAAGTGCCTGTGTGTCTCTGCCTGTGCTTGCATCCTTCCTTGCTCCACTCTTTGTCACAGGGAACTATACCTCCCGGCTTCCCTGTCAACTGATTTCTGGATAAATTCCCTCAAGGGGAGGTAGTGCTAGGCATAAGAGGCAAGAAGGGACAGGGTTCTTGCTCTTACTTGGCCTGGGTTCCAGTGGCCATGGACAACTCCTCTTTCCATACTTCTAGTTCACACCAGTTGGCTAAGGCTTCTGCTCTTCTATCTTCCATTGGGGCAGAGTATTGCTGATCCTGTGGGTACCTCTTCAGTCTTGGTTAGTTCCTGGCACTTATCTTACCATTATAGTCCATTCCCTGTATTATATTCCTTCTGCTTATATGAGTTACAGTGGCTTTTCATTTCCCTGTCTGGTCCCTTACTGAGGGGACCTTCAAATAGGGACTTCAAAACACATTTGAAAACTTTATCTTTTGGAAAATAATTTTCCAAAGAATTAAAGCAGTTATTCAGATAATGAATGAAAGATTTCTTCCAGTAGGGAACAAAAGATTTATGGATGATAAAATCCACTCATCTATTCAAACAAAAATGTACTGATGGCGTGGTCCTGTCAAGCCCTACTCGTTGCTGGGAAGACTACAATGGACAAAACAGGCCCAACCCTGTCCTCATGGGCTTATATTCTACTGGACATGCCCTGTGTAGCAAATCATGATTCTGAAGTCAGACAACACAGGAACAGTCTTCAGTGATAGAGGAATACAGTGAAAGTGTACTAACATTAAGCTGTTCTACTCTTTGTAGACTTGGTTCCTACCTTTTAAATGTGGTATGCTGAATTGTTAAAGTTCCAAGGGCCAATACAGACATTCTTCAAAGTTTGAATCTATTTAAACTGGCCAGTTATGCAAACAGAAGTAACCACTGTGGTAAGGACTGAAGCAGACAATTACAAAAGTTAGGCATTATATACCTAGACTGATACATGTGTTATATGCAGATTTTTGCTAGGATCCTCTTCACAGGGAATATCACTTGGAAGAAGAGAGACTGACTCAAGTTTTGTTTTTGTTTTTGCGGTACCAGTGATCGAACTCACAACCTCACGCTTGCCAGGTAGGCGCTTATGTCACTGAGCGAAATCCCCAGCCCAACTGACTCAATTTAATAAGCTACTTTATCCCTTCTCAGTGACACAGATAGACTTCATCAACATAACAAAGCTAGCTGCAATGTACATCATGAGTAGCATGTCACAGTCACCAATAACATGACATTATTTCCAAGACGGAATTTTCAGGCAGAAGAGCAGAAACAACCCATGACTCATGTGGTAAGCAGTTATACAGACAACTGTGCCCAAGAAAGCTGCCACCTACATACTAGAATGACATCAAATGCAAAATGCAGACAGAAAATCATTTTCTGATTCATCTGGAAACAAAAGATTTGTGCACAGTATACCCCAGAGGTAAGACTGCAGTTACCTTATAGATCCTAAGCATTTTATGCAACAATAAACATACATCAGATACTCAAAATTTAACCTGCTTGAGCACAAGACCATGTTCAGCCCCCGAAATCGCAACACTGGTTCCAGAAATGGTATAATATCTATGGTTGACACTTCATTAGATTTTTCTGAGATAAGTTAACGTGGCCTAGGGATTTAGCTCAGTGGCATAAGCGCCTGCCTGGCAAGAGCGAAGTAACGTGTTCAATCCTTGGTACCAAGGGAAAAAAAAAAGGTAAGTTAATGTGCCTATGAAGGTAAATTCCCATGGAGATCTTGTGGGTACAATATTCAGACTGTTCTTCCTACTAGCAAATTAGAAAGCGTTTCATGCTTGCAATACAATTCGTTTGAGTAGCAGGTAGACCCATAATACTATGCCGTTCATAATCACAGGGAGTCTAAGGCATGATGCATATTCAAAATCAGTGCCTTAAAGCAAGTCAACTATAGAGCTGGGATTTTAACCTTACTGGCCCTTAACTAGCTGCCAAGTTCTACCCAATACTCCACAACATGTAGTCAAAATACACATCCCCTCTCCACATACACATGACACAGCACAACCTGGAGTTCTGCGCATTCTGTCTCTTCTTCCTAAAATACAGTCTCCTAACCTCACCGGGCAAAGTCCTTCTTTATCCTTTAAAATACAGTCTAACTGTCTCTTTGAAATCATGGCTTCCAGAGGAAGATCTCTTTGCCTTCTTCAATGCTTTCATTTCTCCTTGTACAAGATGCCATAATAGTGATTCCTATGTTGTAACATTTATTTGTTTCAGCGTAAAGTCCTTGGAACTCAAGTCTTTATCTTTGATACCCTTTGATACCCTGGTACCCTGTCTGACTCAAAACAGGTGCTTCAGAAATATTTTTTGAAAATATATGTGTAGTGTAGGATCTTAGGCTTACAAAGAATTCTCCCTAAAGAAGGTATTTTGAACCTTTTTTCTCACCTCACAGAATATGTAAAAGACATAGAGAATAGGAAAGTATCTCCAGGTTCAACATGCTCATATTAAAAGACAATTTAATGGAGACTTTGATAATTACTTTCACTACTACTATGTCAATATAACCATGACTGTCAAATTAAGTCGTATTAGCTGCAAAAACTCAAAAAGTTATTTGATCTTGTCAAAAAAAGGTTTAATGGAAGCAAAATTCTTTCTGTTGTTTAAATCTGGTGGAACTTTCTTTAACCTTTCAAAAGGTGCCAAAGATAGAGCTAAAATAATAAAAATTTATATGAAAGTTTTGTTGTTTTTGGTACTAGGGATCAAACTCATGATCTCAGGCTTGCCAGGCAGGCACTTGTACCACTGAGCTATATCCCTGACCCTATATGAAAGTTTATAATGACACTTAACAAGCAATGATTTATCTGCCAATACAAAACAAATAAGAGGCAAACTAAAGATTAATTTATGTAAGTTAAAATTTACAACTACCACTAGCAAATCTTCAAAAGAAATTCCATGGTGTAATCTTTCCTACAAAATTGAAAAGTCAGAAAACATCCACAAACCATTCTCAAGGGTAATATAAAGTACATTTGCAAAAATGCTAGGCCTCCCATATAGAGGAAATGACTTTGGCTTAAAGACTAGGGAATTACCAACTGAGTCACTCTATCCGTGGCTTCCAGGAACCAAAGTACTATGAGGGAATATAGTCAAAAAATGAAAATAAAAAAAAAACCAACATAAAACAGGATAAACATTTGTAAAAAAAAAAAAGATGCTTACTTTTGAGTAACTCTTTACAAAGCACTTTCCTTTTAAACTGGGAAAATGAGACTGAAAAAGTTAAGTGCCATGTTGAAGATCAGAAAATTCCCATAAGCAAAGCAAAGTTTAGCTAGATAATATCCCATGAAGTCTCCAAGCCTTTTCATTACTCTGCCTCCTGCAATCCGGAAGGTGGGCTTACAATGCTGTGAATAGGCCTGAAACACTTTCTAAGATGACATTAATGAGAAAAGCAGCCTTTCAAATTACTTAAGAATCTCTGTTTCAGGATTCAGAATTTTATCATCAACAGGAAAGACTATAAGCAAGCAGCTACTAGTTCTCATTAAGAACTAGTTTTTAATACCAAGCAAGGGAAATTTGGAGGAAGAAGTAGTGAATCAATCTCTCTCTTCCATATGCTCGATTTTAGTGGAATAAGAGTAATATGAGAAATGCAGGGTTATTAATCATCAAAGTGGCATGTGATCCTCAAATGTAGCAATGCTCACTCCAATGGGCATTTACTGTGACTCAAGATCTGTCAAGCAAGAACATGGGGAATTTGAGTAAAGCCAAGGAACATTGCTAAGTCTTTTCATTTGTCTGTTTGAGACAGGATTTTACTCATTATCCGCCTGCCTCAGCTGTGTGCTGGGATTACACAAGTCCACCACTATACCCAGCACATTTCTAAATTTTAAAATGAATCTACTGACAAATCTGGCACAAGATCTAATAAGAATAAACCTCTAAGAAATTAGCCAACTCAACACAAATTGATTCTAAAGTACTTTTTTAAACTGAGTTTTTCCCAATGTAAAAATGCAAGACAAGAAGTTTGGGAATCTGCTTTCTTAATGACACGTTTCATTTACATTTATCTAATAGTAGAGGTCACAAGAATATGCTACGAGGTGTTTACATCAATGCATCATTTCTGTCCTCCTTATATAACCTTCTTCTAAAATAAATGGTAAGCCAGTGAAAACATCGATTAAGCAGCTACGTCCTTTCTTGAAATAGATAAATGAAAATATATTTGAATTTTTGTTTTATACTATATGCCCAATATACTACACGGCAACAATCCTGGCAAATCCACCCGGTTAGCAACAAAAATAAAGGAATTAAAAGCCCCCAAAATATAGCAACTTGCATCTGTAAATGTCAAGTGCAAACATTTCACCAATAACCAAGCTTGTCGATCATACTGATTTTTAGTTGTATTAAACCATTCATCGTTGAGGGCGAAAGAAACAAAGACTAAATGATTCTGCCAATTTACCAAAATCTCATTTCACCTTCAGAAATGTAATCACCATGGAAGCAACGAATCTGATGAATTCTTTGCTTCCTTTACTTTACTCCTTCAGCACGACAGCCCAAATCTGCTATTTTTCTGGCAACACATACACACACACACACACACACACACACACACACACGGCCTCCCTTGCACTCTACAAGCCAGGGCTACGCTGTCTTAGAAATCTGCACTGTGTCACTGCATAAGGCAATTTCCCGCTGCACACATTTAGAAGAAGAATGCCACCTAAGCACTCTGTCAGATCTCAACAGGGCTGAAAAATGACAGGAGTTGCTCGCGAAACAGCAGGCAACAACAATCACCACCTTTAAAAAACATTCAAGCAGTTTTCCCCTCCGTCATCTCACCTCCCTCTATGCCTTCTTGCGCGCTCTCTTTCTCTCTCTTTCTCTCTCTCTCTCTCTCTCTCTCTCTCTCACACACACACACACACACACACACACACACACACACTGCAGTTCATCCATAGCTTTGCGAGTGAATGACTGGCTAGCAGCGAGCAGAGTATTAAGATACATTCTTACTTGAATACGCCAGGCCACTTCCACCCCCACCCGTGCCTCAACCCCCATTCTACTCTGCCCCCTGCCCCCACCGACACGCACACGATCGCCCACACCAAACCCCAAGGCAGGCTCATCAGCCAGAGCATCAGGCGCTGCCATTTAGAGATGACTCGGGCGCGCTGAGCCCCGGAAGCCCCCTCCCCAGGCGCGGCCCCGCCAGGAGCGACGCGCTACCTTTAGACTGGCAGTCCGCGCAGAACTTGTTATCCTCCTCCAGCAGCAGGTTGGCCAGGACAGCCTGGTACCGGTCCACGTCCTTCACCGACTTGCCCGTCATAGCCAGGGTGCCGGCGGGGGCAGAGGGCGACGCGCCCCCCTCGCCCCCAGAGACCCTTGCCCCAGCCCAGGGGTGAGGACTCCCGGGCCCCCGCCCAGAACAGCTCCCTAGCGAGAGCGAACCTGCTTCTCGGGCCTAGTCCCGCGCCCCTGCTCTGTCAGCAGCGTTCGCCCCTCACTCCGCCGCCCCTCTGTGCGGCGCCCCCTGGCGGCCTCAAAGAAAGACCTGGGTCCGGCGGTGGTCGCTGGACCAGAGACCCTTGGCCCGGGCAAGAGTGCCCTCGGCCTGCTGGGTGCCGGGCACCGAGACGAACACCGGCCTGCCTTTTCTGCTGGCCGTGAGTCCCGCGCCCCGGTTTCCCCAGCAGCTGCTGCCCGCCCGGCCACTACTTCTACCGCCTACTTCCGGCAGCCCGTCCTCTCCACCTCCACCCAGCCCGGCCTGCGCATGCGCCCGTCCCATCCGCACCGCCCAGAGCTCATCTCTCGGCTCCGCCTCCCCAAAAACCAATCTTTGGCGGGCCAGGGGTGGGGCTTAAGGGCGGGAGGACACGCCCCCTGCTTGTCCTTGGAAAAGAATGAATGGAGCGGGTTGGGAAGGAGGAGGGGGGGGGGAAGTGGAAGAAAAAAGGAAAACAACTGACGTTGGCTGAGTTCTCACTGTGCCAGGCTCTGTACTAAACAGTTTACATAAATTATCCCAATATTATCCTCATTGCGGTTAAGTAGTTATCATGCAGTGTAACCCGAGGATTGAGGATACCACAAAGTCTTCCAGGTAATTCTTTCCTTCAACCACAAATAGAAGAGTCCAAGCCCTTACCCCAAATTAAGGAGACAATCACTTTCCCTGATTTTCTTTCTTTCTTCTTTCTTTTTTCCCAGTGTTTTGAAACAAGGTCTTGAGGGGCTGGGGATTTAGCTCAGTGGCATAAACGCCTGCCTTGCAAGCACACAGTCATGAGTTCAATCCCCAGTACCGATTAAGAAAAGAGAGAGAGAGAGAGAGAGAGAGAGAGAGAGAGAGAGAGAGAGAGAGAGAGAGAGAGAGAGAGAGACAAGGTCTTGCTATATAATTCTAGCTACCAGGAGTTTAGCTCAGCAGTACAAGCACTTGCCTAGTAAGTGCAAGGTTGTGAGTTTGATCCCCGGTATCAAAAAATAGTAATAATAATTATTCCAGCTGGCCTTGAACTCAGTATGTGTAGCCCAAGCTGGTCTCAAACTTGCAGCGATCCTCCTGCTTCATCCTCCCAAGTACTAGAGTTACAGACATCTGATTTTCATAAGATGCTGGTCACCTCTCATTTGGAACACCTGCTTCCACTGACTTTCATTAACTCTTTCCTTGTGACTACTGCAATCTTTGAACATTGTTCAAGTATCTAGTCCTTTTTTCATGTGTGTGTGTGTGTGTGTGTGTGTGTGTGTGTGTGTGTGCTTTGCTGAGGACTGAGCATTCTACATCTGACCTACATCTCCAGCCTTTTACAAAAATTAATTTTGAGGCAAGGTCTCACTAAGTCACTAAATGATCCAAGCTAGACTTATATTTGGGATCCTTCAGCCTCAGCCTCCCAGAATGCTAGATTAGAAATGCACCACCATGTTTGACTTCCTCTTCAATTCTTTAGAACCAATACAGTTTTGTGTAGCTAACTTTTACCGAAGGTTACAGGGGAGAGTGGTGATTATTTAATAGCACTGAATAGGCAACTACTTAAAATGATTATTAAACATCATCCAAAACTATCCTTACTGTAGATAATGTTTAGCACCTGTAATTTTCTTTAGGAGTTCACCTGGTATCTTAGTCATGCTTTTATTCATTCACTCATTAAATTGTTACTTAGAAACAGCTAAGAATCAGGCACTGTATTGTGGGAGAGGGTGAAAACAACCTGATTTGTAAGTTTAAAGGACTATTGTAAAGGCTGAGAGTGTAGTTCAGTGGTAAAACACTTTCCCCATATGTGTGAGGCCTTGGGTTTGATCCCTAGTATTACAAAAAGAAAATAAAAATCCTTCTGTATAGAAATGATGGACCAGGAAGGCTGGAAAAATGAAAGACTCAGGGCTGGGAATTTAGCTCAGCAGCATAAGCACCTGCCTTGCAAGCATGTGGTCGTGAGTTCGATTCCCGGTACCAGTATAAAAAAAAAAAAAAGAAAGACTCAGAGTTATCTTATCTCTAGTATAATCCTTTCCTTCATTTTGACTTTCTGCCAAGACCAGGCTCCCTGCAAAACTTCCCTCATACCAGGAGAAAATGAAAATTGTTACTTTATTAATCAAAAAAATTTAATTCTGGTCGGGCGTAGTGGCTCATGCCTATAATCCCAGCACTCAGTAGCCTGACCCAGGAGAATCGTTGAGTTTGAGACCAACCTGAGCTATAAAGTGAGCTCAAGGCCCGCCTGAACTACATAGTGACACCCTGTCTCAGAAAGACAAAATAAATAAAAATAAAAAGTCAAAAAAATTCTAATTCTGTTGTTTCCATTCAACCCATGCCTAGTGGACTTTCATAAACATAAATTCTAAGTTGTTTTCCTAAGGAAAAAAATCCTCAAAATAGATGTTATCTTAGCTACTTTCAGTTGATGACACAGAGGATCAAGTTATTTGTGATGAGAGGCTCAGTCTAGGTTCTCATCTTCATCCCTTCACTCTGCAAATAGCTTCCATGCTTCTCATCTAACCAGCTACACTGACCCTTCACCTTGCTCTTTAAAAAGAGCTTGGAAATGGGCAAATCTCATTGGCTCATGCTACCTGCTTATAATGCTTTAGTGGCTCTCTATCACCTATAGCGATGCTTCTCAAACTTTTCCCTCTTGTGAGAGATGGCATAGTCTAAAGGTTGAGCATGGATACCAAGGGGCCAGAATATGTGGGTTTTAAATCTTCAGCTTCAACACTTACTGTCTGACTATAACAGGTTACTTAACTTCTCTGTGACTCCATTAGTTCACTTGTAAAATGGGAATGATGATGATGCCAGTAACACCTATGGCACAGGATCACTGCAAAATTTAGCTGACATAATGTGTGTAAGGTATACTCAGAACAGTTCTTGACATATAGTGAAGGATAGTATTTTTCACCAAGTATTTCTGGCTTTTGCCTTCTGGTATATGATAGGGTTTCATTTCCTAGCCTTCTTAGGGTTTGGTATGGCCAATGCATTTGAGCAGAAGGGATATGTCACTTTGTGCCTAAAGTACTTGTTGCTCTAAGATTCCTCTGATTCCCCTTTCCTTGGGCATGGCAAAGATCAACATTTTGGATGTTGCTCGTATATTAGCCTAGATACCTGAATAAGTGATAGGCAAGAGCCCTCTGCAAGTTCATAAAGGATAAGTAACATGATGAAGAAATAAACCTTAAAAAAAAGAAATAAACCTTAGTATTGAGTCATGGGTATAGTCCATCAGTCCACTGTCTATTCAACCTAGCCTAAAGGAACTGTTACATCAAATAGCAACTCTTTTTTAAGTTTCATTTTTTTAGTGCTGGACTTTAGATGTGCTAGGCCAGAGCTTGACCCTGGAGAGACACCCTTATAGCCCAACTGTCATTTTTAATGGCAGAGAAAGTAGCCTGGGTGTGGTAGCCCACATCTGCAGTTCCAGCACTCAGAAGAAGATTGAGGTAGGAGAATTGTAATTTTGAAGGCAAGTTGGGCTACCTAGTGAGTTTAAGGCCAATCTGGACTACAAAGCAAGACCCTGTCTTAAAATCACAAAAGCAAAAACAAAAACACAAATGCTAGAGGAAATAAACATATTTCTCAATTCCTGAGCATATGGATTAGACAAACGTCTTTTCTTCCAAAGCACAGTACTTAGTAAAGTCTTGTATTTTCCCTTGACAATTCTTACAAAAATGTTTACACTACTCCATAACATATTGGGTTATCACAAAATTGTTCAGTGTTTTGTTTTGTTTTGTTTTGTTTGGTACCAGAGATCAAACTCAGGACCTCATGCTTGCCAGGCAGGTGCTTGTACTGCTGAGCTAAGCCTTCCTGCCCAATAAAATTGTTTCACATTACTTTGCTATCTGTCCTAGCAGCTAGTGGGCACAGTTTGATTGCATTGTGTTTATGGAAAGAATTGTAGAGTCATCTCATATCATGCTTGACTCCCAGATGGTTTTTCTTCTTCATTTCTAAGTAAGAATATTTTTTCAGCTGCAGCTCACATAGATAAGAGATCAAAACAGAAATGTGATTTTGAAACTGTTATATTACAGTAACTATAGTAATAAATGTTTAGAATATTATCCAAAAGGTGGCAGGATGAATAGTTTGGGACTATTGCCAAAGGAGATTTTCACTAATATATCTTCTAGCTAATAGATCTCTCGGGTCATATGATGAACTAAAACTGTTTTAGATCCACTGGTCAGTCACTTTACCAATTCAGGGTGATACTAACAAAATGGCTTTTCATTAGGAAAGCTGGATAATTATGTTCTCCATTTTGCTGTCAGTTCTGTACTATTTGTCACATTAAATGAACTAAGGGGTCTCAATGAACCATACTCTGTTCAATCAACTCTCTTCCAATGACTCTCAAACCTTTTTTAGTGTACAGAACTTGGTATGAGTATTAGTAAGTCCCCACTGCCCTGCAGGGGATTGTGTTTGCAGCTTTGAAAACAGGTCTGCTCGGGAAGCCAGTTCTGGATGCCTCTGCCACCTGCTCCCTCTTTTCTGTACTTGCATATGTCTATCTACAGCCTGACTCTCCTGGAAACGCCTCCATTTGTCTGGCTAAGGATGCCCACCTTGACAAAGCCATTATCTTTCCCAGAGTCACTGGTTCCTGCTGCTCAAAGCATCAGTACTGCTCAGGATTCTAGGTGACCAGAGATCAGCAGCCACTGGTCCCTTAGGAAGAGAAAATGGCCTTTCCTCAACTCTGTGTCTTACATTGTCATCTGGCCCCAAAATAGCCCAACTTGTATACAGTCCCACAAAGTCTTACACAGTGTGGGGCTAAGGACTCAGCTGTCAGGGACCCTGCAGTGAGTCCCCTGTTTCCTACAAGGTGTTAT